ACAGCAATCTCGACGATATCCCTTTTTGGGGCATCTACTAACCAACAGCAGGATACCGGCTGGATCAAAGGTGCCTGCTAACCCATCCTTTTCTCTCAGCGGAGAATGGGCAAATTTGTCATCTGGAAGGTGTGACGGACGACGGAATTATTAAAGTTCTAGGGGGTATCTGGAATGATAGAAGTGAACGTTGACTGTCAAGTCAATACTGTACGAATCGTAAGATATTGTAGATTTAAGGATCAGGGACAAAAGGTTAGGATCAGTGAGGTTTTTGGTTTTACTGAACTTATATTGTGGTTTATTAAAAGTGTTTGAGTTTAATCTACATCTAATCGTCTATCTATGTTCTACCTCGCTTAGGTAGAAACATTATGTTCTGGTTACATGATGGAATAACATTCACACCACAGAGATCACTACAAACCGAGACCTCACCAAAGCTGGTAGCGATCGAAGATGAGTATTCTTCGTCTACTCCGCACTGCGTGTAGTTTGGTCTGGTATGTCTAGATTTAAACAGTAATGAGTGAGGAGCGCATTGCTTGGGTCCAATGTGAAGGAATCTTCTGTCATTCGGAGTTGTTTTGATTTTCGTGATTTTTCGAATTTATTTAATCAACTACACCTTTGGCAGCGATTCACGAGATTGGAAGGAGTCTAGGCTGTAGGAAGGATTGTAGGGAACCTTGCCGGATCCACCGGTCCTTAACCCTATGTGGGTAAAGAGCGTTAGCTTAGGATCTTTTGATTTAAAAAAAATAAAGCTGTCCGCCACTCTGCTTTCCAGTTTAAATGTAGCAAATTTCCCTCTACCAGGAACTTTACTTTTATTTTACAAGTAGTTTGAAATTACTTCCGCAGAAAAATAAAGTAATAGTAATTCTTTCCATCTATCAAAAGACCCACATCAGAGCTCAAGATCTCACTTGGAAATATCTAATGGGCTCGTTGGATTTTGCCGTAGAACTTTGGCAGCTCGTCACATTTTCCGAAGGCGAGGGCGCCTTAAGGCGTGTCAAGTACCCATTCGATGCCGGGGCAAGGATGTCAAGGTCCACCGCGAAGACGGGCGTGGTTTCTTCCTATTCTGTAGAAGAAGAATTTATCTAGGCTTTTTCTTGGCCACAGGAGCAAGTGATTAGAGATTCTTCGTGTGCAAAACGTCGATGATATAGTGCGAAATCTCCGTGTCCGGAACGAGCGGCGATAAGCGCTCCAAATGTCCGCCGACTTAAGCTTTTCAGTTCTGGAGTTACTCCTGAGCTAGGGCTGATTCCGAGATCTTTAAATCTAGACGGCGCCTCCATTACCTAGAAAGCGTTGGTGGAGGCCGACTATGGGAGAAGAAGTCCCAGACCACAATTCGCGCAGAGAAAAGTCACAGGATGATGGAGGTATGTCTGGATAACTCGGGAGTTTGAGACGTTTCCCTGTGAGGGTATTTGTGGATGAGGGCCGATTTGGAGTGAAGAAAAAGCCGCCACAGCTTCGCAGTGGCACTTGCAAATGAAATCCGAGGCATGAGTGCTCTTTGTTACGGTTTGACCGTTGTTTGAGCTTAGGTGGATACCTAAGCCTGTTACTAAGAATTCTTACTATGAGGCTGTATCAGGGGGAGATGAAGCTGAACGAAACGGGACTACTACTCAGGAGGCTGAAGCGTTATTACAACTTAGTGACACCTGGAAATACGTGGCTGGGTAAGAAGTATTGTGCCTAAGGACAAGTCACTAGTCTGTAGATTCACGAGGAGGATTAACTCCTATAAATACCTGTTAGTAGTGGCTAGAGTTAGCTTTTCTCCTCATATAGTTTATTAAATCGATTTATTCATCACCAACTCGGTTTCCGTCACACTCTTACATTAAGATGAGTCACCTATTGTGTACTTTTGTTCTGATACTGTCTGTTGAGACCTAATATATACATTAATATTACGGGGTAAATAACGTATGGGTCACATATTTACCTGACTGTTAGTGGTCACCTGTCGGACAGGACGGCTGGATGACATGTTGTGTTATGGAAGATCCAGGTCACGTGATAGTGGCCTTCGGATATTAAACAAGAGGCGGGAAGACAGATCACTTGCTCAGTTTAGGACACATGTAGAAGACATTAGTGTTGGCTCTACAGAGCTGGATCACTCGTGGACTATGAATGGTGTACATATGACTGGAAATGTGTATCGTAGTTTTGTTAAGACTCTTTTTTTTTTTTTTTTTTTTTTTGAATCATTTAATGTGTATTCAGCTATCTAGCTATGACACATGACCGGTGCTATGTATACATGTGGGATGACTCTTTTGACGTTAGAGACACTCATACTCTGGATTTCATTTGCAAATACCACTATGAGGTATGTTTGCTTACACAAACAGTCGACCCTCCTCCGTTATTTTTTTTTTTTTTTTTTTTTTGCATCAGATTTTAATTGCGTATGCAGCTATCTAGCTATGACACAATATCAGAGAAAAGTACAGAAAGGATGACTCAGTTTATAATAGGAGCACTCATGCCTCGGATTTCATTTGCAAGTACCACTGCGAAGTTATGGTGGCTTTTTCTTCACCCCAAGTCAACCCTCATCCGTGAATACCCACCCAGGGGAACGTCTCAAAAACCCTGAGTTACCCAGACATGCCTCTGTCATCCATCAAATTTTCTCCGCGCGAAATGTAATCTGAGATGTCTCCTTCCCAAGTGGAGTAGGTGCCCAGGCTACTCAAACTATACCAGAGAACACCGCCAGGAGGTGGACCACAACACCTTCCATCGTTTGCTTGTTTTTATAGTGTCAACTGCACTCTCGCAAGCGAAGTCTTGGCGCGCACAAAGCCCAATTCGAAAAACTCCTTGCCAAAATTCGGAATCTCATGCCCTTCGAGGTTATATCCGTCCTTCGCATCATCTTGTCAACTTGTCCAGATCCCTCTCACATCCATCCCAAAGAACTGTCTCCCAGATTTGTGCTCCACGCCTTGCATCCTCCGGCGGGTATAAATATCGGCGTGGGCGTGTATTTGGTGACCAGCTGAGGCCAGAGAAGGTCGAAGAGTGGTGTGGTCATTGGAATGAGGATGTACTTGGTCGTACTTGTAGACTCGATGAGACGAAGATAGGGGTCAAACTCGTTGGGAGCGAAATAACGAAGTGGATGAGTAATTTGGATTTTTGCCTCGTGGGCCAACTTCTTTGATATTGCGAAATTTGACTGAACTTGGCTCTGGGAGAATATTTCACTCCCAGGTTCGTAGAGGACACCGCGTACAGGTGTTCAGTCTTGCCCTCCCCTCCTCCGTTAGTACCCACCAAAGGGAATTTAAAAACCTTTAGTTATCCAAGCATGCCTTCGTCATCCATGCACACCAGCGCCGCGAGAAATGTGATTGTGTTTTGCCGGATTCGAACCAGCGATCTACTGTCTCAAGTGGGACATGTGTCCAAGCTATCCAGACTCTACTTGGCAGACCGGCCAAGACGATGTACCACCGCACCATCCAACTATGGCAGTATTTATAGTGTCGCCTGCACTCTCGCAGCCGAATTCTTGGCACGCACAAAGCTCAATTTGTAAAAACTCCATTCCAAAATTCAAAATTCCACGCCCGTCGAGACTGTATCCAATCCTCTGCATCATCTTATTAACTTGTCCTGATCCCTCTCACATCCATCCCAAGGAATTGTCTTCCAGATTTGTGCGCCACGCTTTGCTTCCTCCGTCGGGTGTAAATATCGGCGTGGGCGTGTATCTGGCGACCAGCTAAGGCCAGAGAAAGTCGACAAGAGGTGTGGTCATTGGGATTAGGATGTACTAGGTCGTACTTGTAAACTTGATGAGGTTTAGGTAGGAATCGATTTCGTTGGGAGTGAAAGATCGATATGGTGGAGTAATTTGAATCATTGCCTCGTGGGCCAACTTGTTCGGTATTGCGAAGTTTGACTGAACTTGGCTCTGGGAGAATATTTCACTCCCAGGTTCGTAGAGGACACCGCGTACAGGTGTTCAGTCTTGCCCTCCTTGTTAAGACTCTATTAGTATAACAATCGTTATTTCATCCCAACACTGTCTCATAGCTAGATAGCTACATACGCAATTATAGTCCGACGTAAAAAAGAAAAAAACACGAGAAAATTTGGAGAAAATTACACGAGACTGACTCCTAAGCCTTGAACCCCTACATCGTGCCGAATCCTAATTCCAATGACACCTCAAGTCGAAATACCAAATTTACCCAGTGGTTGAGAGGTAACTAATATCATCCTAAAACAGCCAAAGAAATAAGCATTGAAGAGATTCAAGTGTATCTCTCAGTGTACTCGAAGAAAATAGAGATGAAGCATTCGTATTTCGGTTACATTACGACAAGTCAAGCGTGAGGAAGTAAAGATATCTTTCAGCCTACTGTATCGGTCCTAAGGTATATCTGATGCTTGCGCTGAGACACCCGAGGAGGTTCCATGTCTACAATTATTACAGGGTAATGTCGTGTCAGGTCGTGACTAGACGCGTGTCTCGCGAATATACAACTGTCAAGGGTAGAAGCGCGCACAGGACGTCTAATCATGCGAGCACTGTAATTGAGGAGGTATATGTAACTTTCTAGTATCAAGTGTAGTTTGATCCAAACATGTATATGAAAACTACAGCTAGTAGAAATTTGTTTAACTCAGGAACAGTTTTAGTAATGGTTATATATATGGACATGATCTGGATGATTGGAGAAGGGAAGGCATCACACGGAGAATAGATCACAACCAGTTTTACTCGGTCATCTTCTAGATAATTTGTACCTTGTTGTATGTAACAACTCAAATATATTTACTGATAGAAGTCATATCCTTTACACGACTTAGAAAACAATTGTCATCTTCGTCATATGATACATAACTAAGCCAAAAAATTCGGGTTAGATGGGAGATATTTGTATTTCCTCAAGCCAAGACATCTAGAGCTCTTACTTCAATGGACTATACTTTGCGGAGGATGACTTTCATTACATCCTCTTGGCCTCAATTAGTCTCTCATCATTTCTGTCATTTGCGTCCGAATGCGCCTCACACCTTGAACAATTGCACTGAAACCAATATGTCCTAAATAATTCTAGCTTCCTATCATGGTATGACCGGTTTGCGTCGATGTAAGAAATAAAAAGCTCTTCGTCTTTCTTGACGGGTACTAGAGCACGTAACATAATGTTACGGCCCTCAAAGGCAACGTAAGCATTAGGTGTGCAGGAATGATTTGCGAGGGCGAGAGTTGGTTCAAAGCACAGACCGATTGGAGTGGTATTGAGTAGAGTAGCGCGAAAGGCGTTGCAATGGATCTAAGCAGAGAGAAAGTGAGCAAGACAAATTGGCGGAAGCAGATAGTGTAGATGGTTGGTAGAGCAGCGGCAGCTGTGACGGAAGCATAGAACAGATTGCGAGATTAGAGCCAACTACACTTACCCGACAAAGCACGGCTATTGCTAGTTCTAGATACGAGGGAGCGACACGGGCAAATGATACTGCTGCCTTGGCTTGCAGAAGAGCATCTGCCCATTTCTCGCTATTTCGCATCTCATCCATGTGCCCCTCGAGCCTTGCCCATCGTGGATCCCAGGCCAGGCCGAATCGATGACTGATTAAAATGCGCATGAGTGCGCGCACTGGTGTTGGCGGCACGTCTAGAAGAGCCGCAAGTAGCGCGCATTCCTTGGAGTGAATCGATTTCCAGTCGGCGCGTTGACAAGCCGCTGAGCAGTACTGAGAAACTCTACATCCGCTGCATCTCTGGAGGGCCGTTGTAGCTTGCGCTTTATTACCTGCGCTAGAGCCAATCGTTTTAGAGTCTATGACTGTAGATGCAGAGTAGGAGGGCGTAGGTAATAGGCACCAGGAGCATATCTTGCCTAGAGATGCTTTATCTGGAAGGACGATGTAAGGCTTTCGAATCAGAATCAGTATGTTGTCTGCTTTTGAGTCTTGCGTGGCCACGAGACCATTACCTCGCCCGGTTGAAAGGATGATTTTGGTATTATTGATGTCTGCCATTATCGAGATGTTTCATGTCTGAGGCCGAGTACTAGAGCGGATTCGAATAGCTATCGAAACTTTTGCAAAGACTGACACCCAAACTTCATCCGCGCCTCTCAAATCAATCAGTCGCTGATTTACATGACCAAATAATTATTGAAATTCATCTAAAAATAAAAAATCATACAACTGTCCATTACGGTTCCCACACTTTGTCTCAGTAGGCATAAAAATACAAAATTCATAGCTGCCGGTTAGAAATGAAATCAACAGCTAATTTACTTCACGATCAATGCCGCCTCAGCCTTCCGTCGCAGCTGGCACCTTGCCCGCCCTCTTCAATTATTGACTTGCAAAGACGTCCAAACAGCTCTCACTGAATCATAATATCACAAAGCAGCGTCATAACTGGTTAGGCTGCATATACAGAATGGCTTTGTTGGAACACTGGTCTCTAACCTACGTAATATTTCCATGGTATTTTTCACGGGACACGAAAAGAGTTGGAACAGATAGAATAATCAAAGAATATTATATTTTTGTTAGTGTATGGCTATTTTGAGTATAACCTATTGCTCTTTCGTTTACGTGCATATACCGTATTCAACTAACAGAATTCTTTGAAAAAAAGAAAAACACAATCCCGATAAGCATCACAGATCTTTTACGCGATTTGACCCGACAGAGGTTATTCAAACAATTCAAAAGTTTAATGGACATAATTATGACCTATTTCCTCGCATTATAGATGAGGAATCTCCAAACGCGCTTTGTAGAAGTAGAGCTCCATCTCACCAGGCTCTACAGCCTGTCAAACGCCGTTACGGACGAAAATTTTAACAAGCGGTCGAATTAAATAGAGTGGCACTCCAAGCCCGAGTAACAGAAGTCTGGTCAGATTACCGTGATACTACAGGTTACGAGTAGAAACAAATGTACACTCTTTCCTGTGCGTGCTACTGTTGTGCCGGCTAGGTTGAGTTGTCAGAAGGCAGGGGAACGGAAGATGGGCTACTGTATTATTATTATCATTATATTTTTTTGCATCAGATTTTAATTGCGTATGCAGCTATCTAGCTATGACACAATATCAAAGAAAAGTACAGAATAAATGATTCAACGTCAAGGAAGAGCACTCATGCCTAGGATTTCATTTGCAGGTACCACTGCGAAGTTATGGTGGATTTTTCTTCACCCCAAGTCAACACTCATCCGTGAATACCCAGCCAGGAGAACGTCTCCAAAATCCTGGGTTATCCAGACATGCCTCCATCATCTTTCTACTTTTCTCCGTGCGAAGTTTGGTCTTAGGCGTCTCATTCCCAAGTGGAGTAGGTGCCCAGGCTACTCAAACTACACCGGAGAACACCACCAGGAGGCAGACCACGGCACCTTCCATCGTTGGCTTGTGTTTATAGTGTCAGCTGCACTCTCGCAAGCGAAGTCTTGGCGCGCACAAAACTCAATTCGTAAAATTCCTTCACAAAATTCAAGATCTCACGCCCTTCGAGGTAATATCCTTCCCTTGTATCATCTTGTCATCTTGTCATCTTGTCAACTTGTCCTAATCCTTCTCACGTCCATCCCAAAGAACTGTCTCCCAGATTTGTGCGCCACGCTTTGCTTTCTGCGTCGGGTATAAATATCGGCGTGGGCGTGTATTTGGTGGTCAATTCAGGCCAGAGAAGGTCGAAGAGAGGTGTGGTCATTGGGATGAGGGTGTACTTGGTCATACTTGTGGACTTGGTGAGACTTGGGTAGGAGTCAAACTCGTTGGGAGCGAAAAAACGAAGTGCAGGGGTATTTTGAATTATTGCCTCGTGGGCCAACTTTTTGATAATGCGAAATCTGACTGAACTTGGTTTTGGGAGAATATTTCACACCTAAGTTCGTAGAGGACACCGCGTACAGGTGTTCAGTCTTGCCCTCCTTAGGCCTGATTCGAGTGGCATTATTAATTACTACCAAAGCGCTAATGTGCGACGCCACCCAATACAATACTTTAGTGTCGGCATTTTCATGGTATCCACGTGGCATCGGACTCAGTAGTACGGCACTGAACCACATGTTGATAGGCTTACACTGACTGGAAATATATGAGACCGAGTACAATCCCTCCGGTCCATAACGCGATAGTGCTGTATTATAGGTATAGTCAGAACACTAGGAGAGCCCCATGGCATAGGGAAAGGAGAGGGATTAGCCGCGGTAGCGAGGAGGCTTTCACGTATCGAAATGATTAGGTATATGTAATGGAAGTTCTCTCCTTGGAATTATTATTTACTACCATTGACCACATAGTTGCTACGGCATCTGTCCCTCGAAACCGTGACAATGTTGTTGCAATAGCTGTTGGAGCAATCCCTGCCCGTTCCGTGACTGGTGGCTTATTATTTCATTTTATTGTCCTGTCTGAGTCTATGACTATGTAGGACATGCAGGTCCTCTCTGCCTACAGGTCAAGGATACTTATACCAGTAGTTTTTCCCCTCCTATGCCTCCCATACAGCTCCCCTCAAACAGTACCACTCCTCACAAGTCCTCATTTGATCATACACTTAGAGGAGCCCTTAGCCCTTCATTATCTCCCCTCTCCAGCCAATGAAACGATGGCCACTTACGGGTGTATGGCAGCCGGGAAAAATCGCAAAAACCACTGGGTGCGGAGCTCTCCTAATAACGACACTAGGACTTAATCCGAAGACATAGTGCCCCTTCTGAAGCGTTCGAAGAGGCCAGCCAGCTGGGCGCTGCAGACTTGCGGGTACCTCGGGAAATTCACACTCTACCTTTCTCTTAAAGGACGTATATAGAATGTAATATAAGTTAATTGATGTGTAAGTTACAGGTATAATAATAGCTAGTATACAACGCTAGAAAGTAATGTAAACGCTACAGGATAAAGTCATGTGACATAAAACAGCGTAAGGCTGACACTTCAACACTTTCTAGCCTCCTTCCAACTCCTTCCCGAAGGTCGTGCCGAAATGTCAGAAAAGTCTTGACAGAGCGTGATTGCTGTATAGTAGCTTAGCCTAGCTTCTTTTGTACCGTCCAGGGCGCTGGGGAGTGCTGTTGACTCATCGACAGAAGAAGCCCTCCTGGCTAATTAGCCGAAATCTCGGTTTTGGCGCCCACAAAAAATCCAAAGTTGAAAACTCCTCGAAAATGTCAGTCCCAACACGATCTTCAGAGACCTCTTTCCCCTCTCGCTTCACATCTCAGCTGCCTGTCCTTCCTCACGATGTATAACCCTATTAGAGCGGCAGTTCCCCATAAACCAAGACCTCAACTTTGTATATTATGACTTAATTTCCTCCTTGCGGGTATACTTAGCGTCGTAAATTTGTAGTGAGTGATAGCCGGTGATGAATGAGGCGAGCTCCTGTTTGCAATTGGGGTGACGCCTTTTTCGGTCGGCGAGGCAAGATGATATGTTGTTAGATCGGGGTTGAGGACTCAGAAAATAATGGTAAGTGCTGCATGATTGAGAAGTCGTCAAATGGAGATTTGCATGTGTTTGCTTTCGACCTCGATTCGGATGCGATTCTTCTTAGCTATCCCAGATATGCAGAGCATACTGAGCGATTACACCGGCACCACTGGAAGGTGAAGAATTCGTCTTTGCCGGCGTGACTAGTGGCTTAATTGTTACTGGCTATCGCTTTTGCCATTGGTGTTCCCAATCAAGGGGCAAAAAAGATGCAGCTTTCTTCCTTGGAGGCGGCCAAGGGGATGGGAGACTTATTTTTCCCAATTGTATTCCGTTCCATATGTGGAACTACAAATGTAGGCAGGTTTGCTCCTTCCTGAGCTACTGTTGCCCACGATTTTTTCTTTAGTTGTGTCATTTTTGACAGTGCAGGAGCTTCAGTAGTAAGCTGCTTTGTGGGCGGCATGTTGTTGTGGTTATGAGATGTGAGGTGTTGTAACGGCTGCTAAGACTAAGGATTCCTGTCGCCTACACTGGCTATCATAGACAATAACACCAAGGGAATCTTCGGGGATCTTCGAAGAGTCCATATTATTCTAGTCATAGGGGGAACCTTATGGCAGAGAAGTATCTAAGAGTGTATATATATATATATATATTTGTAGTCTAGTTGTAGAAATTCACTTTCCATAGAATTATAATTAATAAACTGTACTTACAAGATTTCCCATGGGTTTTATATTGAAACCGTAACAGGTGTGTGGCAATTATGACTCTGCTGTCCGTCGGTGGAGTGGTACGGGCTCATATGCAATGGTAAGTCGCGGATATGGCGCGCTTACGCTGGGTTGATATGACGGGCTGTGCCCGGATTGAGACTGGTCACTAGGACCACCCCGGCTAGATATTTAAGCGTCAACGAAGTAGCGCTTACAGATACGCGAAAGGTAGCATAAGGATAATTGCAAGGTTGCGCATAAGGAAGGACCCAAGGGAGTACGTACTAAGGGGGGAGGATGTCACAGGAAAGAGGGTAGCCGGGGAGAATGGAGTATTCTCAGGTAGGCTAGGAGGGGAGCTTAAACGCGACGCTGAGGAGGGCATAAAGGACAGGAGCCGTCGTAGGCGGATTAGCTTCCAAAGAAAAAATTATCAATTCTTATTGAGTTAACGTCTTTCAAGTACTTCTGAATTCTTTAAACCCTTCACGGTTGATAGCACGATAGATACTGAGTGCGTATCACTGTGGCCAATAGGCGTCAGTAGGTATCAAATGTGGAATCTTACTGACAATGGAGATCTATAAATGAGATACTAGATTCGCATCCCGATGATTGATGATATCATCTAATCGATGATGTGAAGTATGATATTATTCTGATAGATTAATTTACTAAACTCAGCAGGCAAAGATGTTGTAGGGTACATGAACAGCGTCTGTGCACCAGCCTGTAATTACCACCCTTTCCTAATACAGTAGCCGGAGGGCAAAGCTGAACACCTGTACGTGGTGACCTCTACGACCTTAGGTGTGAAATATTCTCCCAAAACCAAGTTCAGTCAGATTTCGCATTATCAAAAAGTT